CACACCCAATACAGGAGCACCCAGATACATAAGGCAAGTTCTTAATGACTTACAAAGAGACTTAGTCTCCCACACAATTATAGTGGGAGACTTTAATACCCCATTGTCAATATTAGACAGATCAACCAGACAGAAAATTAACAAGGATAACCAGGACTTGAACACAGACCTGGACCAAGCAAACTTAATAGACAGTTACAGAACTCTCCACCCCAAATCCACAGAATATACATTCTTCTCAGCACCACATCACACCTACTCTAAAATTGACCACATAATTGGGAGTAAATCACTCCTCAGCAAATGCAAAAGAACGGAAATCGTAACAAACAGTCTCTCAGACCACAGTGCAATCAAGTTAGAACTCAGAATTCAAAAACTAACCCAGAACCACACAGCTTCATGGAAACTGAACAACTTGCTCTTGAATGTTGACTGGATAAACAATGAAATGAAGACAGAAATAAAGATGTTCTTCGAAACCAACAAGAATGAAGACACAACATACCAGAATCTCTGGGACACATTTAAAGCAGTCTCTAGAGGAAAATATATAGCAATAAGAGCCCACATGACAAGCAAGGAGAGATAAAAAGTTGACACCCTATCGTCAAAACTGAAAGAGCTAGAGGAGCAAGATCAAAAAAACTCAAAGTCTAGCAGAAGACAAGAAATAGCTAAGATCAGAGCAGAACTGAAGGAGATAGAGACACGAAAACCCCTTCAAAAAATCAATAAATCCAGGAGCTGGTTTTTTGAAAAGAACCAACAAAATAGACAGACCACTAGCCAGATTAATAAAAAAGAAAAGAGAGAATAACCAAATTGATGCAATAAAAAACGATAAAGGGGATATCACCACAGACGCCACAGAAATTCAAACCATCATCAGAGATTATTACAAACAACTCCATGCACATAAACTAGTAAACCTGGAAGAAATGGATAAATTCCTGGACACTTGCACCCTCCCAAGCCTAAACCAGGAAGAAGCCAAAACCCTGAACAGAGCCATAACGAGGTCTGAAGTTGAGGCAGCAATTAAGAGCTTACCACCCAAAAAAAGCCCAGGTCCAGAAGGGTTCACAGCCGAATTCTACCAGACATACAAAGAGGAGCTGGTACCATTCCTTCTGAAACTATTCCAAACAATACAAAAAGAGGGAATTCTTCCCAAATCCTTTTATGAGACCAACATCACCCTGATTCCAAAACCCGGCAGAGACTCAACAAGAAAAGAAAACTTCAGGCCAATATCTATGATGAACATAGATGCAAAAATCTTCAATAAAATACTGACAAGCCGATTGCAACAGCACATCAAAAAGCTTATCCACCATGATCAAGTAGGCTTCATCCCGGGGATGCAAGGCTTGTTCAACATATGCAAGTCTATAAACATAATTCACCACATAAACAGAACCAAAGACAAAAACCACACGATTATCTCAATTGATTCAGAGAAGGCCTTTGACAAAATTCAACAGCCCTTTATGCTAAAAACCCTCAATAAGCTAGGTATCAATGGAACGTATCTCAAAATAATAAAAGCTATTTATGACAAACCAACAGCCAATATCATACTGAATGGGCAAAAACTGGAAGCATTCCCCTTGAAATGTGGCACCAGACAAGGATGCCCTCTCTCACCACTGCTATTCAATATAGTATTAGAAGTTCTAGCCAGAGCAATTAGGCAAGAAAAAGAAATAAAGGGTATTCAAATAGGAAAGGAGGAAGTCAAATTGTCTCTATTTGCAGACGACATGATTGTATATCTAGAAGACCCCACCGTCTCAGCCCCAAATCTCCTGAAACTGATAAGCAACTTCAGCAAAGTCTCAGGATACAAAATCAATGTGCAAAAATCACATGCATTCCTATACACCAATAACAGACTTAAAGAGATCCAAATCAAGAAGAAACTTCCATTCACAATTGCCACAAAGAGAATGAAATACCTAGGAATACAACTAACAAGGAACGTAAAGGACCTCTTCAAGGAGAACTACAAGCTACTGCTCAACGAAATAAGAGAGGACACAAACAGATGGAGGTTTGTTCATGGTTAGGAAGAATCAATATTGTGAAAATGGCCATACTGCCCAAAGTAATTTACAGATTCAATGCTATCCCCATCAAGCTACCAATGACCTTCTTCACAGAACTGGAAAAAACCACCATAAACTTCATATGGAACCAAAAGAGAGCCCGCATAGCCAAGTCAATTCTAAGCAAAAAGAACAAAGCGGGAGGCATCACACTACCGGACTTCAAACTATACTACAAGGCTACAGTAATCAAAACAGCATGGTACTGGTACCAAAACAGAGATATAGACCAATGGAACAGAACAGAGGTCTCGGTGGCAACACAACATATCTACAGCCATCTGATCTTTGACAAACCAGACAAAACAAGCAATGGGAAAAGGATTCCCTGTTTAATAAATGGTGTTGAGAAAACTGGTTAGCCATGTGCAGAAAGCAGAAACTGGACCCCTTCCTGACACCTTACACTAAAATTAACTCCAGATGGATTAAAGACTTAAACATAAGACCTAACACCATAAAAACCCTAGAAGAAAATCTAGGCAAAACCATTCAGGACATAGGTGTAGGCAAGGACTTCATGACCAAAACACCAAAAGCATTGGCAACAAAAGCCAAAATAGACAAATGGGACCTAATCAAACTCCATAGCTTCTGCACGGCAAAAGAAACAATCATTAGAGTGAATCGGCAACCAACAGAATGGGAAAAAATTTTTGAAGTTTACCCATCTGACAAAGGGCTGATATCCAGAATTTACAAAGAACTAAAACAGATTTACAAGAAAAAAACTAACAAGCCCATTCAAAAGTGGGCAAAGGATATGAACAGACACTTTACAAAAGAAGACATACATGAGGCCAACAAACATATGAAAAAATGCTCATCATCACTGGTCATTAGAGAAATGCAAATCAAAACTACATTGAGATACCATCTCACGCCAGTTAGAATGGCGATCATTAAAAAATCTGGAGACAACAGATGCTGGAGAGGATGTGGAGAAATAGGAACACTTTTACACTGTTGGTGGGAGTGTAAATTAGCTCAAACATTGTGGAAGACAGTGTGGCGATTCCTCAAGGACCTAGAAATAGAAATTCCATTTGACCCAGCAATCCCATTACTGGGTATATATCCAAAGGATTATAAATCGTTCTACTATAAGGACACGTGCACACTAATGTTCATTGCAGCACTGTTTACAATGGCAAAGACCTGGAACCAACCCAAATGCCCATCGATGATAGACTGGACAGGGAAAATGTGGCACATATACACCATGGAATATTATGCAGCCATCAAAAATGATGAGTTTGTGTCCTTTGTAGGGACATGGATGAAGCTGGAAACCATCATTCTCAGCAAACTGACAGAAGAGCAGAAAATCAAACACCGCATGTTCTCACTCATTAAGTGAGTGTTGCACAATGAGAACACATGGACACAGGGAGGGGAGCACTACACACTGGGGTCAGTTGGGGGGAATAGAGGAGAGATAGTGGGGGGTGGGGAGCTGGGGAGAGATGGCAAGGGGAGAGATGCCACATATAGGTGATGGTGAGGAAGACAGCAAATCACACTGCCACGTGTGTACCTATGCAACAATCTTGCATGTTCTTCACATGTACCCCCAAAACTAAAATGCGATAAAATAAATAAATGGGGAAAAATAATGGAATATTATTCAGCCATAAAAAGAATGAAGTACTGACACATGCAACAACAGGGATAAAGAGAAGTCAGAAAAAGAACATCTCTTGTATGGCTCCATTCATGTGAAATGTCCCAAACAGGCTAATCTATAGAGACAAGTAAGTAGATGATTGGTTGGGGTGGGAGTGAGGGGATGGAGGAAGACAGGGTTAACTGATAATGGATACAGGAGGGTCTTTGTGGGGTGATGAAAATATTCTAAAATTGTTTGTGATGATGGTTATATAACTCTGTGAATATACTCAAAGCCAATGAATTGCTTCCAATAGGTGAACTGTATGCTATGTGAATTGTATCAGGATCAAGCTACTTGAGGAAAAGAGAAGGAGGTCATCATAAAACCCAGAAGCAGTGTATGTCACTTTCAGGTGCTCTGGCCATTTCTCCCTGCACCAAGTCCATCACAGCTGCACCAGGCTTCCTGACTTCAAGGTACAACAGACCTGTCATTCATTGTTTCAAACACATTTGAATTTGTCCTCATCCCCATGGTGCCTGAGTGTCCTGTGACCACAGGCATAAAACTGACATGGCTTTCCACTATCGATGATCCACTCGCCTGCCCCTCCAGCTCTCTGTGACCTTTGGTGACCACTCATCTTTCTAGTGGTTTACTGTCTTCATAATTCTGTCTGACTTTCAAATTTCTATCAGAACTAGACCTCCACATAGCCAGTATTCAATGGAATGTAACAATCCCACTCTGACAACTGCCAGTTAAAAAAAAAAAAAAATACCCTTCCCAGACTCCATGAAGAACCTACAAAGATTTCTGGTTAGATCTTACCACAAAAATTGCTGTCACATGAACCCAACCAAAGCTCCTTACCTGAAAAGAAATACCCCAACAAACGTCAGAAAAGCAGCATCAAAGTCCCACAAGTCTTGGAAGTTGAGCTCAGACACGCGGAGTAGGTTGGACCCCAGTAATTTCCCAAAGCAGCTCGAGGCAGTGTTTTTCCAATTTATCCCCTATGGTGAATGTGACTGGAAGCCCTCATTCTTACTCTTTTTATCTTCTTAGAAGACAATAAACAAAACAAAGATGTAAAAACCACTAGCTACCTCTGCAATATCTGTGAACCAACAATTAAAAATAAATTTGTATTTTTGTTTTGCCTTTATTTGATATGAGACTTTAAACCTAGAATTCCCATGCATCCCTTTCTTTTATATAAACACGGGATACAGACACAGCAGAGCGTGAACTATGTACAGCCTGCATGCTCCTACCTGCAGCATATGACCGCTTTGCACGAGAGTGCCAAATCCAGGAAGCTCCTCCGGACTTCGAAGGAAAGTGCGTACTTCAGGGTGTGGCCATCGATGATGAGAGCCACATCATTCTCCTTGCCCAGCAAATTCCCAAGGTCAGTGCAGTGCTGAGTAATGGCTGCCCTTGTGGCCTGAAACAAGAGTGGGGGGGTGGGGAAAATCACATTTTGTGTGTGTTTAACATCAAAAATAAAATAGAATTCAAAATTAAGTTTCTCAAAATGAGAATGAGAACACACACATGCTAATATAAATATACGAACAGTTCAGCTTTGTACATTCATACATTAAAATTTCATTAGAATGTCCTCTGGGTCTGTTTTATGGGTGAAAACATCCTCAGAGTGAGATCCGTTTGATATTTACAATAATCCACTTTTTTTTTTTGAGATGGAGTTTCACTCTTGTTGCCCAGGCTGAAGAGCAATGGCACGATCTCAGCTCACCGCAACCTCTGCCTCCTGGGTTCAAGTGATTCTTCTGCCTCAGCCTCCCAAGTAGCTGGGATTACAGGCATGTGCCATCATGCCCGGCTAATTTTTGTATTTTTGGTAGAGACGGGTTTTCTACATGTTGGTAAGGGTGGTCTCGAACTCCCAACCTCAGGTGATCCACCTGCCTCAGCCTCCCAAAATATTGGGATTAAAGGCATGAGCCACCTTGCCCAGCCTCGCAATAATCCACTTCTTTACACTACATACACATTATTCTTGGTGCCCCTAAAATAGAAAACTCCATATAAACAAATGTGCCATCTGGAAAAGACAGCATTATTGGAACTTGAATGGAAGATACTAACATTTCTCAGTTTGCACCAGATAATCTTTAAAGCATCCAAAGGGTATCAAGGGATATAAAAATATGACAAAAGATTAATTTTGAATCCTGCTGAGATCTCCAGATTAAACCATTCTCTCCACACATCACTAGCATAAGAAACAAGCTGATCATTTTCCCATGTTATAGAAAATATTTAATGAAGTTAAATTTCCAACACCTACCAAAACATTACTACCAGCCTTAAAAATACCTGTGTAATGTCCATTTTCACATAGAATTAAAGCACAGAAACATTTTTTAGATTTAAAAAAAATGGGCTAGGTATAGGTTCATGCCTGTAATCCCAGCACTTTGGGAGGCTGAGACAGGAGGGATTGCTTGAGCCGAGGAGTTCAACACCAGCCTCAGCAACACAGAGAAACCCCATCTCTACAAAAAATTAAAAAATTATCTGGGGATGGTGGTGCATGTCTGCATGTCTGTAGTTCCAGCTACTCTGGAGGCTGAGGTCGGAGGGTTACTTGATCCTGTAGTGAAGGTTGAGGCTGTAGTGAACCCTGAGCACACCACTCCAGACTGGACAACACAGTGAGACCTTGTTTCTTTAAAAACAAACAAAACCAGATGCTCTGGTTTTCACAGTGAATTTATGACTATGAATAGGATATCTGGCTCAAATATGAGAATGTAATTTGGGGCTCATAAAAATATCTGATTTAAGTTCATCAGGAGGCACAGAATTCTGCTGAAATTATTCTGTCTGGAAGATGACCCTATTAATTAATATTCATATGCAATTTGTCATATGATAACATACAGTCTTAAAGAAATACGTTTAATGAACAAGAATCCTTTTACCTCTAGTAAAACTGAAGATTAGCTACTATTAAAAAGTGAGAAACAGGTTCCCCAAAACTGTCTTATTGTTCAGTGTTTATTCTCAACAAGTGACTTTTGACAATTTCATGAAGATTTATTAAAGAAAAATGTGGTCTAGAGCCCTGCACTGTGGTCAGATGGCCTGGGGTCTAGTCCAAGCTCTCTACTTATTACCTCTGTGACCTTCAGCAAGATACTTAGCCTCTTTAAATTGCCATTTTCTCATGTGTAAAAGGGAGCTAAAAACACTTCATAGCACTTTTCTTATGAACAAATAAACTAATCTAAATAAAATAAACTAATAAAATCAACATAAATTATTTACCACTGGGCTTGGCACACAGCAAACACTCAATAAAACCCATTCTTCCTCCTTTTACTATTTATTCATCAATAATTTCCCCTATCTGGGCCAGGTACAGTGGCTCATGCCTATAATCCCAGCACTTTGGGAGGCCAGGGTGGGTGGATCACTTGAGGTCAGGAACTCAAGACCAGCCTGGCCAACATGGAAAAAACCCATCTGTACTAAAAATACAAAAATCAGCTGGGCGTGGTGGTATGCACCTGTAATCCCAGCTACTCAGGAAGCTAAGGAGAATCGATTGAACCTGGGAGGCGGAGGTTGCAGAGAGCTGAGATTATACCACTACACTCCAGCTCCGGCAACAGAGTGAGGCTCCATCTCAAAAACTAATAATAACAATAATTTCCCCTATCAAGGAAAATACACATCTCTTCTACTTCAGGCAGTGAATACACGCCATCATAAGCAATGCCTTCTTTGTTGATGTAATACAGGCACACCTCATTATACTGTGCTTCGCTTTATTGTGCTTCAAAGACAATTGCATTTCTTACAAATTGGAGATTTGTAGCAACCCTGAATCAAGCAAGTTGATCAGCATTATTTATCCAACAACATAGACTTATTTTGTGTCTCTGTGTCAGATTTTAATTGTTGCAATATTTTAAACTTATTTCTCATTATTATATCTGTTATTGTAATCTGCCATCTGTGACCTCTGAGGTTACCATTGAAATTGTTTTGGTGCACCATGTTAAAAGTCAAGACAGACCAAAAGCTAGGCTTCTTGCACCAGTTAGCCAAGTTGTGAATGCATAGGAAAAGTTCTTGAAGGAAATTAAAAGAGCTACTCTGGTGAAAACACAAATGATAAGAAAGCAAAACAGCCTTATTGCTGGTATGGAGAAAGTGGTCTGGAATCACGGCATTCCCTTAAGCCAAAGCCTAATCCAGAGCAAGGCCCTAACTCTTTTCAGTTCTGTGAAGGCTGAAAGGAGGTGAGGAAGCTCCATTAAGTCTGAAGCTTAGCAGAAATTGGTTTACGAGGTTTAAAAAGGAGCTAGAGCCTCCATAACATAAAAGAGCAGGGCAGACAGTAAGCGCTGCAGCAAGTTCTCCAGAAGGTCTAGCTAAAATAATTGATGAAGGTGGGGCTTCACTAAACAACAGATTTTCAATGTAGGTGACACAGCCTTCTGTTGGAAGAAGATGCCAGCTAGGATTTTCATAGGTAGAGAGGAGAAGTCAATCCCTAGCTTTAAACTGTCAAAGGACAGGTTGACTCTTATTAGGGGCTAATGAAGTTGGTGACTTGAAGCTGAAGCCAATGTTCATTTACCATTCTGAAAATTTATGCTAAATCAATTCTTAGAAATGGAAAAACAAAGCATGGCTAACAGCACATCTGTTTATAGAATGGTTTGCTGAATATTAAGCCCACTGTCAAGACCTACCGCTCAGAACAAAAGACTCCTTTCAAACTGACTCCTTTCAAAATGACTCCTTTCAGTGCTCATAACAATGCACTGGGCCACCAAAACTCTGATGGAGACATCATTGATGAATGAATGTCATTTTCATGCATGCTTATCTATCATTTATTCTACAGCCCATGGATCAAGGAGTCCTTTAGAGTTTAAGTCTTATTACTTAAGATACATTTCATCAGGTTATGGCTACTACAGATAGAAATTCCTCTGATGGGTCTGGGGAAAGTAAATAGAGAACCTTTCAGCAAGGGTTCCCCATTTTAGATGCCATTAAGAATATCCATGATTCATGGGAGAAGGTCAACATATCAACATGAACAGGAGTTTGGAAGAAGTTGATTCCAACTCTCATCCATGACTTTGAAAGGTCTGAAACTTCAGTGGAGGAAGTCACTGAAGATATGGTAGAAACAACAGGAGAACTAGAATTAGAAGAGGAGCCTGAAGATGTGATGAAGTACTGCAATTTCATGAGAAAACTTGAATAAACGAGGGATTGCTTCTTATGGATGAGCAAAGAAAGTGGTTTCTTGAGGTGGAATCTACTCCCGGTGAAGATGCTGTGGCCATTCTTGACATGACAACAAAGGATTTAGAATATTACATAAACTTAGTGGATAAAACAGCGGCAGTGTTTGGGATAATTGACTCCAATTCTGAAGGAAGCTCTACTGTGGGTAAATGCTATCAAACAGTATCACATGCTACAGGTAAATCTTTTGTGAAAGGAAGAGTCAACAGATGCAGCAAACTTTATTGTTGCCTTATTTTGAGAAATTGCCAAAGCCACCCTAGACTTCAGCAACCGCCACCCTGATCAGCCAGGAGCCATCAATGTCATGGCAAGACCCTCCACCAGCGAAAAGATTATGATTTGCTCAAGGCTTAGGTGATTGTTAGCATATTTTAGCAAAAAAAGTATTTTTAAATTAAGGCACGTACATTGGTTTTTTAAGGACATAATGCTATTGCACACTTCATAGACTACCATACAGTGTAAACATAACTTTTATATGCACTGGAAAAAAAAAGATAGCGTGACTTGCTTTATTGCAGTATGTGCTTTATTACCATGGACTGGGCCCAAATCTGCAATATCTCTGATATATGCCTATAATAGACAAATCATTAAGAGAACTATGTTCTATGCATAAATGGACTTTTATTAAAAACAAAGAAGCCATGTATGGTGGCTCATGCCTGTAATCCCAGCACTTTTGCCAAAGAGGGAGGATCACTTAAGGCCAGGAGTTCAAGACCAGCCTGGGCAACAGAGTGAGACTCTGTCACTACAAAAAAAGGGACATGTAGGCACAAAATTGGCGAGGCATGATGGTGCACGCCTGTAGTACCTGCTACTCAGAAGGCTGAGGTGCATCCTGAAAACATCTATGCCTTCCTTATCAACAAAAACAGCCTGCCCTTTAGAATTTGGGCACATGGTAGAAAATTATCCCAACTTGGAGAAATGCCAGCTTGGCAGCCTGGGTGTGTTCACCAGGAAATTCAGGTAAGTGTGGGAAATTCTGGAGGGTATGCCTGCCGGGGGTCAATGTATGAAGGACAGAAAAGCCTCCCAAGAAGCACGTCACGAAAGAGATGTGACAAGGTACACAGATTTGGCCCAGCAAGAGCAGTGGTATAGTAGAGGCCAGTCTAGCTCAGTGTCTTTTAG